TTCAGTAATATGTATAAAGGCACTGAGCTGCATCAATAGGGTATAAGAGCCTAAGGAATGGAACAAGAACTGGTTATAAGCAACTTGTAGATAAGTTGAGAAGTTTAGATTTTATTGTAGAAATGAATAGTATTTTTTTCTTTTTTATTATTTTCTTTAACAATGAATTTTTTTAAATAATGGAAAAGCCAGAACAACTATTCAGATATTCATTCTACTATGAAAACATTAATGGTTTAACAAGTTTTAATTTAATTTAGTTTATTTATTTATTTGCTACAAGGATTGAATTTGGCTCCTTGTGCTTGTGAGGCAGGTGGCTGCACCACTCAGCTAAATCCTCAGCCCCAACAAGTTTTAATTTTAGACCTTACTTGAGCTAAAGAAAAGGAATTAAAGGAATATTAAAAATAATGAGAAACAACCTGTTTTGCTAGGTAAGATATCCATGATTCTGATTTTTGAGGAATACTGACTGAAAATTTAAATTTCAGTTGTTCTTCTGCATATAAAATTATTCAAGTGCTGTCATGTAGGATTATTTAGGGAGTCTCTTTTATAAAGTCAACAACTGCTCACTAATTAATATTTTTGAAATCTGGTATTTTACAATACTTGAAAGAAACAAACTACTGTTATATACAAATACATACTTTTATACAAATGTATACATTTAATATTTATTTGACACAATTTTTATATATAGGCAGAATACAATGCGGTAAAAACAATGTGGTCTAAAACAGTGTAGTCTAAACATAAAAAAGCACCAACCTACCACTAATGAACTCCCTAACCTTCACATAATTTTTGTACTTTCCCGGACCCCATTTTGAAAAATCTGAACAAATTCATGTAATTGTTTCCCTGTGCCAGTATTAAAGTTTTAGTTTTGTTACTGTTAGCATATGCCAAGTAGGAAAAACTTTAATGGAAAAAAGCTTTTACATAGGGCAATAATTTCAGAGGAGACTATAAAAACTCTGTTTACAGATGCTCTTATTGAAAACATTATATAGGAAGGACGGTAGATTAACAATATGATCCTCATACAAAAATGTTAAAATTAATATTGACATAGAAAGGATTAGATGACTTCTAGAGTTTTAAATTATACCTACAGGTAGATCTGAATATTTTTAGTACAATATTAAAAATCCAAGGTTTAGCCTTTTCAAATGTAGCAATGCATTTATCTTTCTTTACTAGATACTCTAATCTTATTCATGTTCAAATCTAAGCATTAAGTTTATCTAAGCATTCCTAAGAAGAACACTCAGTGTATTCCTTTTATGTTCCTGGACACAAGTTAACATAGAAATATTTGTCTCTCTTCCAAGCTCAGAAAAATTAACAAATGAACAAATTTGCTTCTTATTAGTATATACCTGATACACATTATATTAATGAAGGTAGTAATTTAAAAGCTGGTGAAATAAAGGTTATTAAGCAATATGCTTGTGTGGCTTGGTATCCTCAGATATTTTAATCAAACTTTCTTTGTTCTTATGATCAAAAAATACATCTGAAAACCACCATCAGCTATAGAATTAATATGTGAATAATCACTATTTAGTCCCTATTATAAAATCCTCATTTTAATAGGTTAATATGTTTTTATGATTACAAACATTGAAATATGAATCTGCACTTCTTGTGCAGTAACTGAAATATGGCCTTTCGGTTTGTTCTCCTTTGTGTCAGTGTCCATTTAAGAGTGACCTGAAGAATGCTGGCATTCTTGGTAAATAAGATCCTACGAACAAATTTTGGGGAAATGTTGTAGTCAACAAAGTGAATCAAATTCTGTTACTTTTGTCTCAGCATCAGTCTGCCAGAAAAATCTTATTTGAGCACTGCACTCACTTTTATTTGATATTTCGTGGGACTAGAAATATTGCACAGAAGTATTTTGAGAAGCACAGATATATTTAAAAACTATTTACTTTTCAAAGTCTTGAAATAAAACAAATCAAAGGCCACAGTCTACCTGACCTCTGCTATGTTGAACTGCTTTCCAAGAAGGGAAGAGTGGTATCACCACAAACTTCTCATAAATTTTAATGTTTGAACAATATTCTTCTTTAGAAGTGCAAAGGGAAATTCAAATTGAAGCAAAAAGTATTTTCTAGTAGAAAACTGGCAGAAAAATATTGTATAAAAACTAGTAGGAATAATGTAATTCTACTGTAAGGTTTATTATATGATGGCTTGAAGAATTGCTAGTTGAGAAAAAATGTTATTTTCTTGAGTTAGTCTGAAAGTTGAAGGGTGGAGATTGCTTGCTTTATATGTAAATTATTTGTGTTTTTTTTTTAAGAAAATAAACCAACATAAGGAAATCCCTGAGAGTTTTCAATGCTCATTCCAAATGGGTTGTTGCTCCTGAGCTATTTTTTCAGTGTGTCATATAATCTTTGTATAATTTACAAATGATAACAAAACAGTCAGACCACATAATAATAGCCCAATGACACAAACTCTGGATGAATCTATGGATTACAATTAATTGTCTCTCTTTGTTCCAAGTTCTACATCTTAGTAAATGATTCACTGCTTGTCATTACAGCTTAATATTTGCATGAAATCACAGTTTAGCTGGCATAATTTAACAGCAATTAAAAAGCTATTTAATCGTCATGCAAATTGGTATGAGAGCCCTTAAGTGAGAAGGGTGTCATTATTTTTATTTTTTTTAATATCCCCAGGAGGAGAGTTATATACTTGTAGACACCCATAACATAATTAATAACATTCTTCCTTCTCATGGAGGTGTAATAATTCATGTTTTTCCATTAGAAATAAGAGAAAAAGCCAACAATATGAAAATATCATTCTGTAGGAAGACATTATTATGTTAATGATAATGAATTTTCATTTCCCAGGTATAAGTCTAGGTTGAAGGTAAAAAGCACATTTGTTCCTTTGCTCAGGTTTATAATCTCTTCCATATTTTTACAATGGAAGGTAATAATTTCTATAACACCTCTGGAACATAAAAGGGCATAAAGCAAGTCACTCTGCAAACTTTTAGAAAAATTACAGTTCTATGTCTAGCTTTAGTACATAGACATACAGATGGTTGAGGTCCTTACCCCACAGGTTGATGATGTTGGGATCTGGCAAAAAGAAAAAGGGAAATATATAATAACACTTCTCAATCTCTCAAAGTCAATATGGAGTCATGGGGATTTAGGATTCATATTATACTGCTCTAACACTAAATAACAGATTCCACTGCTATGCACTCTTTTCACATTCAGACAATTTACCACGTTGCATCCAGAATTTTTTTTCAAAATATGTCACATGCACACATGGAATCTGCTTCTTCTTTTTATACTTAAGAAATGTCCAGATTTATTCCAGTGAGTCCTTGTAGTTGTAGTATAAACATTGTCAAGCCTCTTCCTGTTCCTTAAAACTCACTTCATACATCTTCAATCTTCTCTTTAGCCATAATGCTTTTTGTCAGTTCTATAACTATTTCAAGAACTTTCTTGCCTAAAAGTAAGGATCCAGCTGATAGTTTTTATTTCTTCTCCTGTACTTTAAGTTTTGTGATTGTGTTTATTATAATTTATATTTATTTATCTAATATTTATGTCATAAGTATTCCACTAAAATGCAAATAACAAAACAATTTGCCACCCTTACCACTGTGTCCAAGATCTAGCAAAGTATCTTCCGCATATTAATCACTCAATAAAATATCTAATGAATGTAGCTTGAAATATCTAGGGAATAAATGTAGCTTGAAATTCAAAAGAGACCGACATCAAAAGTTGAATTTCTTTCTAGGAGGAACATTGCAGAGAAATTCCTTCCCACTCTCTAAGCAGATTCTCATGGAAACCAAAATTAAGAGAATTGGTTTGGGCTTCTTAAAATGAGACCTAAATTATAGCAGGAATGTTGTTTGATCAGCCATTTGTACAGTGAGTTATTTTTCAAAACATCTATTGATAAGTATTAGTTTCACAGTATATAGATTCTTTAATATTTTGCATATAGTACTTAATGCCATACTGGAATCAAACTAGTCCTTCATGTAATATTTGTTCAGTGACTAATAAGAAACTGAGTTTTGAAGGACTCAGATAATTGAAAATGCATAACTTTAAGAAAACTATGGACTGATGAAATGCTATTTAAGTACTTTTTGATAAGATCTGTATGGAGAACTATTGAGAAAAAAAGATCACTCCTTTGAAACAAGTTAATTTATGCAGCCTTTTGACAAATAAAAGGATTATGTGGGGTCTCTTTTAGGGACATCCTTAAGTGTTAACTGGGACTTAGTAAATTTGCTCTAAATAAGTCTAGTGACCATATCTTTTGAATGGCCCTTTTTATCCCAATTGTGTGCTGCTTTTATATCAACAAATTGTCAAGGCCTTAGGAAAAATATTTTTGCTTCTTCAAATGTCTGTTTTTCTTCTTCCAAATTATCAATTTAAATATATAGGCCATTAATTCTCAATCTTTGGGCAACAGATTCTGAATTATTTTCAAAGGCAATGAATATAGATTTTATCTACATAGCAATCATGGTATAAAGAGTAAAAGATTGAATACAATGTGTTTATACATGTGTGCATATATATATTATTTCTAAATTTGAAATGATAATGTATCCATTAATATAGTTATCACATAATTTTTAAATTATATATATATATATATTTCCATCAACAAATTTCAGAAATGAAATCACCATGTATTTTGGAGATCATGTAACTTTGATATCAAATATTGGAATTCATATACCTGAAAATTAGAATATAGAGTTTTGTCACCTAAAAGTTCCTTTCTCACTAGTCTTAATTTATTTTAATTTCATCTCTATATTATTTTGTCCCTATAATTTTATCACTGTAGTTTCAATAAAAAAGCTCAAATTAATATAAAACCAAGAAAATTTATGGGTAAAGTTTTCAAGTTAGCACTGTAAATACATTGTCCTATACATGTGCTTTTTTTTTATTGCTTTTCTCTAGGACCACCTTCAGCTCCTAGGAATGTGATTTTTAACATCAATGAAACAGCCCTTATTTTGGAGTGGAGCCCACCAAGTGACACAGGAGGGAGAAAAGACCTCACATACAGTATAATCTGTAAGAAATGTGGCTTAGACCCAAGCCAGTGTGAGGACTGTGGTGGAGGACTCCGCTTCATTCCAAGACACACTGGCCTGATCAACAATTCCGTGATAGTACTTGACTTCGTGTCTCATGTTAATTATACCTTTGAAATTGAAGCCATGAATGGAGTTTCCGAATTGAGTTTTTCTCCCAAGCCATTCACAGCTATTACAGTGACCACAGATCAAGATGGTAAGTTCCACTGCTGTTCTTTCAAACAGCATTCCTTTTTATGCATAATATCGCTGGCTGGCTTCTACTCACTGTAGGTGCGATACAACTACATATGCTAAACACTACAGACATTTGCTGGTTGTTTTCTGGTTCTTTTCCCAGATGCAGAAAGATATTTGATGTTTTAGCAGTATGGCCAGACAAAATGCCTATTTTAAAAGTGTATGCACGTGTGTTTTAATGTTATACTATACCAATGTCTCTCTTTTTACTCATTAAGTTTATTGGTACCTTTTAGGTGCACACTATGATCACATTAATAAGCGCAAATTTGTACCTGTACGTGAACATCTTGGTTTTTGTTTCTTCCCATTCTCTCCTTTCCACCCCTCCACCCCTTCTGATTTACAAAAACTTTGCTTCTGTGTTTTCCTTCCTTTCTCATTTTTTCTCTTTTCTTTCCTTTACCCTACCCTCCCTCCCTACTTTCTCTTCCCCTTTGGATTTTTTCTTCCTTTTTTACATTATCTGTTATACCAATGTCTCTTAATGAGTAAGTCCATATTACTTAACAGGGAACTTCAACCACAAATCAATGTTGCCAACTGAATTAAATTTCAAATCTCCACTATCTTCTATTGCTTTTCCATATCATATAAAAAAGCAAGAAATTTTAATTACAATTCATGTCTGTAATATCAAAGCATTTTTTTCTAACATGTTTAACCATGATCCACTGTGAAAAGAAATGCACACACCCATACACACACACAAAGAGAAGAAGGAAAACAGAGAGATAGAAATGCTATTGTCTGTGTGCTATTTGTAAAAAGTTATTCAAGTGTCTTAAAAAATCTGAAAATTCAGTTAAATTTTCCTTTTACAACACTATAAATTTTTATTGTAATGTAACCTGGCATAAACACTCATGCTTATGTATATACATATATGTGTGTGTGTATACAATTTAATTCCCTTATAACATAATTCTGTTGCAAACATGATACAAGAAGAGATTCAGAGATTCAAAACACCTACTTTAAAGAAGTGTTCATAAGTAATAGGGCTGTACAAGTGATTGTCTTACAGCAGAAAATATTATGTGATCATTTATAATATAAATATTATATTTATCATATAAATATTATATGATACAAATATAAAGGTAAATCTAGTTTTAAATATTGTATAAGTTTACTAGGGCAGCCATAATAATTACCACAAGCCGTGGCTTTAAAAACTAGAGATTTTATTTCCTCACATAGGCTAGAAGTCTATGATCAAGTCATCAATGGGTGTAAATTCATTCTAGGGCCTGTCTTCTTGGCTTCGAGATGGCCATCTTCTCCCATGTCTTAACATGGTCTTTCCTCTTCAGGTAGAATCTCCTAGTGTCCTCTTTTTGTAAGTCATCAGTTTTTGGATTAGGACCCACTTGTGTGACCTCACTTTACATGAATGACTCTTTAAAGCTCCATCTCAGTACAGTCCCATTCTGCAGTACTGAGGGTTAGAACTTCCACATGTGAATTTTTGAGAATGCCACAGTTCAGCCACAATATACATTAAAGCAGAATGTTGTGGTATGTAAAACAAAATGATAATGAATATAATGGAATACTACTCAATATTAAAATCAAGAAACTATTGATACACACAATTTGGCTGAATTTCAACGGTACAGTGCTTATTGAAAGGCTCATTGTAATAGGATGCATACTGTCTGATTCCACTCATATAACATTCTTGAAATAACAGCATCATCCAACTGGAGAAAAGTTTAGTCGTTGCCAGGAATTAGGAATTTTGAGGGGAAGTGATGTGCTTGTGAAGGAGTAGCATGAATGAACTGGTGAATAGTTATGCTCCAGTTATGGTGGTAGTTACATAAAGCTATATGTGTGTTATGAAATATG